TTGTGTGTGTGTGGTAGAAGTATCGGTTTTTGTACTCTGTATCGGCAAGTACTCAGATCCAAGTATCGGTATCGCATCGGTTTGAAAAAATTGGTATCGTTGCATCCCTACACTAAAACCACCCAGTTATCCACTGATGCGTCAGTTTTGAAGTCTGGCCATAGAAATGCCTGAAAACAGACACAGTGTGTACGAGGAACTCACAGGAACATCTTCAAAAAGTTGTGATTTTTGTGGGTGTAAAAAATGTTTTTTCTCTTCACACTTGTAGCTCTGAATAAAAATGCGCCCAGACTCACCACCAGTGGTAGCGTTGCTGATCGGGCAGTACTGGTTTAGAGCAGGGTACTGGGAGAACAGGAGCTGATATGACTGGTTGAGCTTCTCCAGCCCGATTCTCAAACCTCTCAGTTTGTTTTCCTGCAGGGCCGACTGGGACTGAGACACCAGTGTGAGCTGAACCACTGTGGTATCAAACACACACAACACACGCAGCAGTGTCAGAAGATTGCATACACAATGTCTCATCACCCGTTACCATGGATACGGGATAATAAAGCAGTGTCAGACAGAAAGCAAAGCAGACTGACAGAGGTGAGAAAAGGGATGATTCAAAAAGAACAGAGTTAATCCTCCCTGCACGCCATCGCGTAAAAGAATTTATTCTAAAATAAGACGCAGAGAACGACGGATTTATTTCTCGACAAAATGACAAAAGACTCGTCCTGCTTTTTGTTGAAACACCAGAATCATGGTAAAATTTTCCTGCATTATTACCAGTACCTCCATATGTACGTTGTATACTAATGCAGTGCTCTCCAAAGACAGGTTAGCAGTAGAAGAAAATGTATTTATTTTTGTCCCTTTAGGCATTTAAAGTTGACAAAAATACGCCAATGACATAAAATTTGAGACTCCTGGTAACATTTGATACTGTTTTTGATATTTAGTATCATTCTGTCTGTAACTCAAAAAGTTTAGATTTTAAATGGCATACCACATTTGACCTCTGACCTCTCCTTCAGACATTTAACAAAACAAAAATATTTTAAAAAGTCTATTTAGTAAAGTTTTAGTAAAAAACTCTGTGACTGCTAAGAGGTCTACGTCTTACAATCCAGCCTGTGTCTGCCGCCTGACTCTTGTGTGAATTGTGACATTTTCACACCTGCAATCTCTTGAGTGGTGACTGTTGTTTTGAGGGTCCTCTTCACTGCATTTTCTCTGAACAGCTGCAGTTATTTTCTGGTCCTGTGTTCATTTTGAAGCCAACCAGCGGTTCAAAGCTTTTCACGCTGCTGTAAGTAATATACGCGTCTTTGTTTTCGTTTAGACGAGCCGTTTGTGTGGCAGCCAGCACACCCCGACATCTGTGTATCAGCAGATGGAAAGAGTGAAAGAAAGAAGGCTCGTTACACACAACTCCTTTGTGTGAGCGCAATCAATGCAAAAGGAAACACCTGGGCAACAAGTTACATTTGCCAGTGTGAAGCGGGTCCACTCTACATAACAACTCAGCCAAATTTCGCTATGCTGTTAGCATTCGCTTGGAGAACTTTAACAATCATATTATTCTGAGCTCCACTATTAGCGAGGATCTATTACATTCACTTGCTAGCTCTGTGGTCGGCTTGAAGCTGGACACTCTGGTG